CTTCATTCCTCTCTACGAACTCATTGATTAATATTTCTTAATTACTGAAGCACAGCCGAAAGTTTTTTTGTTAAATTTGTGTGATGGCTTAAAAGAAATCGACAAAGCGAATCTTTTGGCAGGCGGATTGGAAATTCTAAAAAAATTTAAACGACAAAAACACAAGGTGGAAGTATGATGCAGGAATGAACCGATTATTGAAATATTTGGGTTTATTGGCTAGCGACTGCTCTTGAATTTTCCCAAAAACTTTTTTCTAAAAGTAAATAAACTCTTCAATCTTAATCTTTTGTTCGTGATCCATTTCTATATCTCATTCTTGCCATTCCCAAATTTTATACTCCTAGTCCCAGATAGCGTGCGCATGGAACGCATGCGTACATTAGATCGTGTGGTGGAGACCCGGATAGATCTTCTGGAATGGGAGTCACCGACTCCGAAAGAGGATTGTGCCGCCTGTCGTGCCCTCGATTGCGACATTATCTTTGCCTTATTGTTCACTATGGTGATCGCCTGCCTTTTAGTGCTTATAATGGTATTTTGGCTAAAAGGAGTGCTACAATACGAGGAGTGAGTTAGGTTTCATAAATAGGTTAATACTGCAAAAATTTAAAATGGGGAAAGGAAAAATGATCAGAAGGTACCTAAAAGGGAATTCAATGACTCAATGACTCAAGCATCCAGTGGATAAAGCGCATATCTGCGCAACAACTGTAACAGATGCCCACATTCGTTCAGAATGTGATCGAGTTTTCGACGAAAAGAACCCACGAGGAGAATTTCAATTTCCGCTCCTCCCAAAGGAGCCCACGGATAACTCCATAGAGAAAAATATCACATTGCCTAGGAATTTGCAGGTAAGAGGAATTTCAGGAAACTGCATGAAGAAGATGAAGTGTAAGCCAGATATTGATTTTCAATCTTTCCTTTACTTCAAAAAATCAACATTAACAAAAAGCAAATAACGGCAAAAACCCCAAAAAATCAATATATCGATTGGTACTTTTTGCCCTTCTAGTGTGTATACACGTTTGTCGCGGGACCGAGGCAACGCGTAAAATTAGAATTCGAACATTTTCATCTCGCTGGCAGCTCCGAAAGGTAAAATGATCTTGTATGGAACAAATTTCGTCTATGAATTTGCATAATCGAAAAAATTTAGCTGCGAGATTGAATATGTAGACATTTATTCGGAGCTTGAACGGGTCGAATCTGATCTGCTATCCGCATCTTTGGGTGGCAGATATTGTGGTACCGTATCACCTCATGTTAGAATAAGGTACGGTAAGCTGGTTTCAACATTTAAAATAAACCATTTATTGATTGAACTGTTCTAGCCT